TCTGTGGATGCATAACGAGGTCCGTTTGGCCTTCCTGACTGCGTCCCCACACTGCCGGCCCATGTTCATTTTGGCATCAATAGTGACTCCAAGATCCTTTTCTGCCTCTGCACTGATGAGAAGGGAGTTCCCCAGCCTGTAGCTCTGCTGCTGGTTCTTGCTCCCTGGGTGCATCACCTTGCACTTGTCAGTGTTGAAACCCATCCTGTTCTTATCTGCCCACCCCTGTAACCTGTCTAGGTCCGACTGCAGCCTGTTCCTCCCTTCTAGTGTGCCCACATCCCTCCACATCTTAGTGTCATCTGCGAATTTGAACAGAGTGCTTTTTACACCCCTGTCCAAGTCGCAGATGAAGATGTTGAACAGTGCGGGCTCAAGGACCGAGTCCTGCGGAACCCAATTGCCCACATCCCTCCAGGTTGAAAATGATCTGTCCACCACCACTCTCTGGGTGTGGCCCTCCAGCCAATTAGTGACCCATTTGACTGTGTAGGTGTTGACGACACAGTCCCTTAGTTTTTTAATGAGACTGGGGTGAGAGACAGTGTTGAAGGCCTTCTGAAAGTCCAGAAAGACTATGTTCACTGCTACCCCTGCATCTAAGGATTCTTTGACTTGGTCGTAGAAGGTCACCAGGTTGGTCTGACAGGAACTGCCTCTAATGAACCCGTGTTGGTTGCCCCTAAGCCTAATCTCCCCTGCTGGCCCCTTGTGGACATACGCCAGGATAACTGTCTCAAAAAGCTTACCCAGGACCGAGGTAAGACCGACTGGCCTATAGTTTCCTGGGTCCTTCTTCCTCCCTTTTTTGAAAATGGGAACCGGGTTGGCCCTTTTCCAATCCTCTGGCCTTTGGAAAGGGATTTGAGATAGGGCAAGAGGTATGTGCCCACTCATCTGGTGGAATCCATTACAATCAACTCATGATTTAGAAGGGCCTCAAAGTGCTCTTTCCATCTGTTTTGGATATATTTGTTGTATTTTACGAGTGTTGAATCATTCTGTGATCTCAGGAAAGTAAAACCATGGGAGGTTGGACTGTAGATGGCTTTGAAGACTGGAAAAAACTCTGCACGTCATTGTCAGGTGTACATTGACAAACACCTTGGCTTTATCCTGTAACCACTAGTTTTTGATTTCCTGGGTCCTCCTTTGACCTTAAACTCTGAGGAGCTGATATGTCTCCTCCTGAAACGGTGTCATCTTGCCAAACAGAATGCCCCCTTCTCTTCTGGTTGAGGAGCACTATATCTCGGTATTACTCTCATTGAACCAGTGTAAAGTTTAGCAAGTAATCATGTAATAAGCATTTTGTATTTTGCTCTCAAAATATTTGTGTAACTTGCTTAGCATTTTTCAAATCTATGTTGTCTAAATCACTGTGTGCGCATGTTATTTTTTCTATAGCATCTACTAAACATCTGGAGAACTCCTTTCTTAAAAATATTTTTAGTTTAGCAGTTTCTACTTCTAACATGGCAACAGTGCATTCTTGAATTCAGTGGCACTGAATACAGTTTTACCTCACCCAGACAAATCTGCAATAATCTTCAATCTCTTTCATGGTTTTTATTTGAGTCCCTTATGTTCATTATGCAAATTCCAAAGGTTGGTTTTGCATGCAGGTCTTATGAGAAGAAGAGTTTACACTTCATAAGCTCTCATTTACATAAATAGTTGATAGCTCTGACTTTTTTTATATAAATCCTTTTGTCTTTTGATTTTGAAATATTTAAGCTTAACAAGCATGAGAAAATAGCTGCATTCAAGTGAGATATTGAACTTGTGAAATGAGCTTATAGTTATGCAGTTTGCTAAACTAGCTGTTCAATTACAGTATTTTACTGAATCCAAGATGACTTTGAATTTAAGTCATGTAAATTTGCTATAATTCTTCCATGTATAGAAGCTAATTTATTGGGGGGTCATTTTAAACTAATTCCCCTCTGCTTTAGCAAGGCAAGCAGTGGTGGGGATGCAAGCTGCCTGCCCCTCTACTCATGTCCACCTGTACCTGCCCCCATACAACTTGTCCCCACCCTCCCTCTGTGCGTGCCTTCCTTCCCCCCCACTTGCCAAAGCCAGGGATGCAGCAGTTCCCTTGCTGCTATGCAATCTCCCCTGCACTTTTCACCTAGCACTGTGCAGTTTCTGCCACACTTGCCTTTCCTCCCTCCCTCCCCATCACTACTCTGTGGTCTCCTCAGGGCTGGGGCTGGAGCCACAGCAACCACCTGCCCCAGGCTATACTCTAATTCAGGGGTCAGTAGTGTTTTTGGGCAGAGTGCCAAAAATGCCTGCAACTTTGATTTGTAAGATGTTAGCATACTAAGGGAGGCATGAGGCATCCTTCAGTCCTTGTGGCAACACAACCTCAGCCCCTTCCATGCCATCTGCACCGAGATGTGTGTGTACCTGCTGGATCCTGGTGCAGCTGCTTGCAGCCTCCCAGTTGCCTGCCACAGCTAGCCTGGGCTCTGGGCAGGACCCTGCCACCCACCACAGAGCCCAGGCAGCAAGCAGCTACATTGGGGTCTGTGGAGCCTGGGCCCCGCTTGTAACCAGATGCGGGTTCATGCATGCCTCAAGATGGATGGCGGGGAAAGGGTCAAGGTTGCACTGCCATAACAAGGATCAGGCCCCTCGTGGCTCCTCTGCCATCTGCCCCGAGGTATGCTTGCCAAGCAAAGGGCTTTGGGTTTCCTATCCCTGTTCTGATTTAAGACAGGGTTTCTTTTTCCCCATGTTGGATTCAAATAAATACAGTAACTTTCATGGTAAACATATACCTCTACACAATCACTACCAATTCACTTCCTTTTTTGCCCCAGTTCAGCAACTATATGTGAAACAGAAGTTGTAATAGGTATAGGTGGCTATAGGATGAGAGCTATAATGTGCCTAATCCGCTGGAAAAGATCAGGAAGTGTCTGCTGAAAAAAACATTTGGGCAAACTTTCCCCTGTCTTTTTTCATCAATTGTGTGTGACAGACAAAAGTGAAAAGTGGGAGAAAAAAGGTAGATGCAAAATGGAAAAGCAGTGTGGGTTAAATGCTGAAGTTCTCATGGCCAAAAAGCAATATATCTGCTTCAACAGCATTTTGAGAGGAGCTTGTTCCTCCTTGTGTTATCACCATATGTGGGCTGGTGCATCAGAAGAGGAACTATTATTCCGTCTTGTATTGGGCACTGCATACCTCAGAGAAAATAGACATGTTTCCACCTCAGTTACAGCCCTAAATTTGCCTGACTTCTGTTTAAAGAATAGGGAGCATTTTACTTATTTTACCATTTTACCAGGTAACAAAGCAGAAAGGTAAGACATACTGCAGGATTGTTGGTTGTAGTCATGTTGGTCTAAGGACATAGGCAGGCAAGGTTCTTTGGGTAGATGTGATATCTTTTATTAGACCTACTAAATAGTTGGAAAAAAGTTCTTTGCAAGCTTTTGGGCACAGATGCCTTTCATCAGGCATAAGAAGAATCTTATCCACCCTCAAGCCTACTATCTGCTGCTCTTAGTACTGGACCTCACAGCTGCAGCAGGGGAATCTCTGTCTGCCCCATATGGCCTCCTGTTTGAGCTGTGAAACATTTTCGGATCCTGCTTTCCACGTAGTGTGTAAACCTAGAATATCACTTACCCAGAGATCACTCTTTGCCACAGGCAATCGCTAAAGCAGATAAAACAATGAAAAGATTTCTTATATAGGGGAAAAAGAATTACAGAAGAAATACTGACCATAAGTTTGAACACAGTGTAAAAAGACAAGTAAAATTTCTTACCCAGGTTACACCCTAGCTCTCGTGAGATGCCTGCCAGTTTTTGTTGTTGTTTCTTTCGGGGGGTTTTTGTGTTGGAGATCAGCCTTTCTGCTGATTTCTACCAGCCCTGATTGCTGGGGACCTGGAATCCTGAGCGAGCCTGGGAAAATCCAAAGACCATGATTCTATCATAGCTAGACTTTTAAAAACTTCCAAAGCAGTCTTGATCATCAGCATTATTCAGATTGCTCATGAGTCACCAGAATCCTTCAAAAATTTGTCTCCCTGAGACACCTGGCATCCCTGTAGGTCAGGGGTTCCCAAACTGGTATGTCTACCCCTGGAGGTATACAAGACATCTCTGGGGGTATATGGGAGAAATTGTGTAATGGTGGATTTAACTTTCATTCTAATAATAATAATAATAATAATAATAATCAGCGCTTAGGGGCTTAAAATATAAAATGTATGCTGGTAGGAGTACACAGGCAGCTGGTAAATCTGGAAGGGGGGTATTCAATAAGAAAAAGTTTGGGAACCTGTGCTCTAGCTGCTGGGCCATTTCTCACAGGTGTCTTCGCAATAAAGGAATTGATTTCCCCATTACAGGCAAGCAATGCCTTGGATGACCCACCCATTAATTTTTCTTTCTGTGTATGTGTGGGAGTGGCAAATCTTCTTGTCCTAGTGGCACAATAGCAAAAGAAATTTATCATTTGCACCCACTCCATTTCCTTGACTAAACCATATCCAGAATCATAAAGATGCATAGATGTTACGCTGTCTGTATATATAATGATTAATAGTAACATAAATTAGTACAGCATAACATGGGCTTCTCAACGAGATTACGCATGCTCTCTCAATTAAATAAATACAAGAAAATCTGTATGATGCTCCATGAGCCTCTCCCCACCAGGCGTTGGTGGGGTTTGTGACAACCCCCCTCTAATATTTATTCACAGAGTTTAATGTTCTGAATATTTGATTAATATTCTCACAAGGTGGTCAGGAGATGAAAAATGTATATTCAGTTGAAATGATTGGTCAAAATGTGGATAGACAAAGTAGCTACTTAATTAGGCCAGGACACACAGCTCAGCAACCTGCATCTTAATTGAAAGTTCCAAATTTTTAATGGGGCCAAGGTTTGTTGTCTTGGAGTGTTTAAAAAAAAAAAAAAAATCATTGCATCCAGTTAAAGTATTGAAATTCCTTTTATGCTTGTTCCAAGGTTGCAGAGTAACAAGAGGGAAAGAAAAATACAGCAAGGAACTCTCAGAATCAAAAGTGAGAAATGTTCAGGTTAGAAAACAGTTAGTTACTGAAGACATTGGAGAGGATTGTGAAGAGACAGAGCAAGATCAGGGAAAGAAGAACAAAACTACTGAAAAAGACAACACATCACAGGTACTGGTTATTTGCTTGTTGCTAAGTCACCTTATTTCAAGTATTATTGAATGCAGTTGACAATACCATAGGCCCTCTTTTATGCATTATATCTGTTATGCAATTACCTTGTCACTTGTACAGTAAGTTTAAACTGGCTATACGGGCAAATTAACTGTTGTGCCTTAAAGCTCCAACCAGCTATTAAGTTATTGCTCAAAAACATGTAATAACTTTATAGTTGGTTTCTATCTAGCTTAATGTTGTATACATAGGTAGTCTTGCAGCTGGGAGACTGCAGCTGCTATGATCTCCCAGCCGCTGAGATGCACAATGCAGTTCCCCAGCAACGGGGTACCAGGACTCGGGGGCGTTCCAGGCAATGGCTGGGAGATTGCAGCAGCTGTGATCTCCCAGCTGTGGGGTGCTCCATGCACTGCCATAGCTGTGAGACCGCGGCAGTGCATCACAGTTACGGGGTTGAGAGTCCCGCAGTTGACAGGGTTTTTGCGCCACATGCACGGCTAGTACTGAGAGCTCCGTCAGACACGGGACTGTTGGTCTGAGCTCTGCATGGCTCCTCTGGCTGGGATCCCTATCAACAAAGGAGGCTCCCTGCTATGGGAGTCTACATCTTGCAGATGCAGGGGGAGCCCAGGTTCAGGCTCTCCCTACTCCAGCAGTAAGACCTAATTGGATCTAGTGAATGGTCCTCAAATCACATTACCTGCCATGCATGTGTGGCATGGCAGGAGGCTGTGGATTGTTCATTAGATCCAACTGCACCTTTACTTGCATGTGCAGAGTAATGCTTAACTTTATGATTGATCCTGTATTGTGATTATGTGCCAGTTTTGATTATCTTTTGATAATATTTTTATGCTGGAGTGTCAGTTTCACTGAGCAGCTCCACAACACCAAGTGTGGAAAATGTGAGGGCACCTGCAACATCATTTTCATTCAACAGCTGCAGGTCCTAGCAAGTGCATTTCTTCTGAGAAACACCATTTCCAAAATGTTGTGTTTTGTTCTTGAACGCAGCACAACCATCTTTCTTGATAGTTTATAGGGAAAATTGGATTGAGTGCCATTCTGCAATTAATTAATTACTTCACCAAGAAAATGTTATTGCTACAGAAGCCACAAGTATTTCTAAAGCTGGTATTAAGTTTTTGATCATTTAGCCTCAAAATATCATTAGTTTCTCTCAGAATTAAACTATCTTGAATGGAGTGAAAGATAGCAGAAAGACTAGATATGGCTTTCTTTGTTTTGAATATTAAAGTGTCTGAAGATTGTGATCTCTGTCTTCTATTTCACAGAGTGCATCTGGAACCCCATTTGCAATGGCTGTGAAAAAAATGGAAGGGAATGAGAAGTCTGTGATACAAAGGACTGAAAGATCTATGGACAAAAGTGATTGGCAACCCCATAGTGAAGTTTCTGACCACAGGCTAGTTGCAGAAGGCCAGCTCTGTACTCAGACCAAAAAGACAGGTGAAATGGAAAACATGGAACAGACCATCCCTTCTGCAAGCCAACCAGTTCACCAGGACAAGTCATCCCAGTCTCAGGTTTCACAGGATGAGACTCCAGAGCTTGATGTAAACCCAGATCCTGGTACTGGAGTTTCTGATTCAACAGGAAGCAAAGATGCTCTGCAGAGTTCTAAGCAAACCCAGCACAAGAGGGTCCCTTGCATGTATGGAACAGGTTGTTACAGGTAAAGCAAAGCTGTAAATAAGCTATATTCAGACAATTGCTGAGAAGCTGCTTGTTACCCCATAAAAGAGGAAGTGGTTAAAATGTTAGTCCTGGTTGCTGGAAAAGAACAAATGCAATAGCAGTGTTTTTAGAAGCATAGGAAGTTTACTGACAGGCAGTATAATAAACTAAGCTGGGGATAAAATATTTCAACAAATTACAAGACATAGTTCATTAAAGAAATAGGCAATGATGGGTTTGCCTAAAAACTAGACAACTGTGACTACAGTAGAGAGAAGAAATGTAAGTGATGAGGAAGATCAACCGTTGGTTGTTCTATTAACAAATAAAGCTTTTTAAGTACAGTGATATTTTAAATATTTGCATTTAGGGAACATATGAACACAAAAAATGCCATTTGGGTCAGACCAATGATCTGTTTAGCCCAGTATTCTGTCTCTGACTGGCAGAAATGGTACGCTATAGAGGGAGAGCATTAAACCAGCTATCTAGAATGATCTAACCCTTATTCAGTATCCTCTCTGGCATCTACTGTCATTGGTTTAAAGATGCCAGAGGAAATGTCTCCAACCATTCTGTTCAATATCAATAATAGATCTATCTTCCATTAATTTATCCAGTCCCTTTTTGAACCTGGCTATCTAATATGCCCCAAGCAATGACATGTTCTATGAGTTTATGGAAATATGTAACTGCTTTCCCCAAACAGTTCAGCATTTTAAATTATGCACATTTTTATTCTTGTATAGCCTGGTGTTTAGTCTTTAGTACTAAGCTAAAATGAACCTTTCTTTCTGTATATTAATTTTTCTGTTTCGCAGTATAAGGGTTCAGTACTGTAGAAGTTAGTAGTTACATGCCATCCCCATCTCAACCTCTTCATCAGTTGTGATGAGGGAGCCTTTCATGGCTTACCCCAGACTTCACTTGGCTTGTGAAGTGCGTGAACTGTGCCAACATTTTGAAGTGCTTCCAGCCTGCAAAGATGAACAGCATGTTTGGGTTTTTTTGTCCTCCTCTCTTCAAACTCTGCTACCACAGAGCACTACTGTTTCACATGTTTCTTGTCTTCCCTGGGGGCTGCACCAGGAGGCAGTTGAAAGATGTGTGTTAACTGTTAGGTGTGTTTGTGTGAAACCCTAGATAGATTTTTCCAAATAGGACAGGTCAAAGGATAGGGTACAAGTCCAAAGCTATATACAGTGGTCCTCTGGGGTTGAGCAGTAGGCCAATAGTATATTCTCATTTAAAAAAAAAAAGTACAGAAACAAGGTAGCTATTCAGGCAAAAATTGTTAAAAACTGTCATGTTTGTGGCAGAGCCTTGTTTGTGCTGGGGTTTATTTAACTCTCTGGAAAATTTGACTTGAACTTTAATTTTTCCAACTAGTCATATTTGAACTCAGGAGGCAGAAGAAAGTTAGCCACAGCTAAACTTCAAATTAGGGTGCATTGTTCAGGACTTGCGTGCATGAGCTGGAAAGAAGTAGAAAGGCTTAGGGTTCATAAGCCACATTTCAGTTTGGAGCAAATAAGGAGAAGCTAGTCAGTATTGGAATAAAATAAAATCTTATGTTGCTATGAGAACAGAATGGAGCATGAAAGTAGGACTGTGAACTTGTCTTAAAAACCATGTATGCTAAGAGGTAGGGTTTAGTTGCATTTTGTGTTCAATGGGATGAGGCTGAGGCAGGAAGTTATAGGATGATGGATGATATCACTGAAAGAACAATGGGAGTATAACCTAGGCATTTGACTTGGTAATAAATTATTGGTGTGTGCGTGTTTCCCTGAGGGTCATGCATAAAACCTTTATTGGTAAATATCTCTCAGCAAGTTATATTTATGCATTTCATTAGCAACTCTTGTAGGATTTTTAGTTTTATCGGCCCCGTTTTGCTCTAAAATAGATTTTTTTTTCCTTTCTGGTCACTCATGCCTAGCAGACAATGTCCTTTGCAAGATAAACTGTATTTAGTTATAAAATAATGCGTAACAGTTTTTGTTTTGTTGATATGAATTTCATGTAGCTATTGTTCAATCTTGGAAGCAGCAGCTTTACTTTTGTTTTTTTAAAGGAACACTGTAAGAATGTTAAAAAAAAAAAAAAAGAGTCCAGCCTTACAGCTAGAGAAGCTAATGTTATATAAGATATTTTGTTTTAATCCCAAAGACTGCTGGGTCCTTGGGGAATTGGATATGCACTTGTGCTTGGATGCATGTTTGGGGAAAATAACTGTGAATGAAATGTTTTTGGCAATATTTAATGCAACATAGGCTTTTAATAAGTAGAATGGTTTGGGGAGAGGTATGTGAGATGGTTTGCAGGAGGTCTTGAGAGCCCCGTTTATTTCTTGAGCATGTTTCATTCTAATTACTCTCTTCTTCTCTGACCAATATTTTACTTGGGCAAAGGGCCAAATGGAGGTTTCTCCTTTCTCTGATATCTTATTGAAAGAAAAGGTGTGCCTTAAATTTTCTATTTCCTTCTCCCCAGCCCATCTTTTCAGGAGTTAGTCTGAAAAGCTACCAAAATTATGGTAATACCTATCGGCTGTTTGTAAAGAGCTGTGTACATTTGTGCATTGTGTTTATTACCAGCTAGCAAACCTACTTTTAAATTGATAATATTTATATTGCATGTACTTCAGAGGAAATAACAGTGCATCATATGAGTTTTAAAGAAGGCGAGCTTCCTGAAAATCTCTCCTGCTTTGGTATTGCAGCGAGTACTTGTGATACACAATTTGCCCTTCTAGTCATTGCTTTTCAGTTATTTATATATAGTCTGTCAATAAGACAAACTGCTCAGCTCTGACTAGCTGTTCTTTTAAATTCCCACTTCATTGAGAAGGTAACATCACTATTTAATTTCTTTCATTTCTTCTTTTCCCTTTCTTTTCCTTGCTTTTATGAATGTTCCACGAGCAGTCTCTCTTCATTAACACTCTTTCACTGGAGTATTTGAATGGCCTTGACGGCATCAGTCTTAATCTGTTAAAGTCCTGACAAATGGCCCCTACAGTTTTCATTTCTGCTTGATATGATTGGTGCAGTATATGAAAATGATGCCTATTGAAATGGCATTTGACCTGTGCCAAATCCACATTAACCAGCAGCTTCCTGTAACCAGGATTCTGGTGCTTTCCTAAAATAGTATGTATCTGTTCTTAACGTTTTTAGACTCAAGGCACCCCTTGCTAGACTTGAGGCCCTCCCTGGAAAATACCAGCTCTTAGCTTGCTTTCTTTTTTCACTAGGGAAAAATAACAGAGCAATTCTTCTGCTGCAGAAAACTCAGAAAAGCCACAACAATTTGGAATGTTTTTGACCCTATGATTTCCTATTTAAAATCTCTGGGGGCGCTGGCACACGTTCAAATTGAAGCTTGGATAGAAACTAGTTATATAGTGGCTGCACATTTTCAAGCACTGACTTTGTAATTGGTTTGCTCTTTTTATAGCTGGATGGACCTTTTTATGGCATGATAATTGTTTAATTGCATAGTGTATATAAGTTGTGACAGGGCCCCAGGTTTATCTTGTGAATCACATTTAGGTGTTTGCGCATCAACCAGTGCCAATGTAGCACAGTACTCTGTAGCAGCCTTAAAAGGATCTCATACTACCCCTGACTGCTTTGGCACCTTACTTGAAAATCACTGCATTAAACCTTTAGTTACCTAGAGGAGTATAAGAATTTTAGGGCAGGAAGCAACTAAAGAAAAATTGCTGTATTTTGAAAATAACTTTACTGCTTGTATGATCAGTCATTCTTTTTTTTTCCACTTCTAATTCACAAAAAAGGTAGTTTCCTCCCTTAAAAAGCTGGGGGCACTGCTGTTAAAAGCTGAAAGCCTGATACTGAGATTTCTTACTAGGGGGCTGTCTGTTGCCAGAATTTGTGAATATGGTACGAGAGCAGTGATGTGAATAGGAATAGCGTCATCAGTAGCAATGCTTATACATTGGATAGACATTCAGTTAGTTTTCTAAAGCAGCCAAGCAGTTGTAAACTATTTTCATTGGCTGGAGTGGTTTTGAAGAATAATAACAAAGCAGAGATATTTGGTTTCCATGTTGCTCTGTGGCAGTCCAGTATTTCTCCTTGCTAATGAATGGTTGTTAGTCATTTATTTTTCTGCATTACAATAGCGCTTAGGAATGGCAAATGGGATAAGACTTCTGTTTTACAAGTTGGTACTTATATGTAGTATATGACCTTCCTTGTTTCCAAGGAGCATATCCTCAAATCAAACCAAATAAACAAAAGGCGGGGAAATACAGAATTAACCTTAATTTGCAAATGGGAAATTTAGTAAAGAAAATTAAGAATATTTTGTCGAAGATTACCAATACAGTTAAGAGTTTAATTGTGATCCCCAAAATCCTAGTCAAGGACTTTAACAATTTAATATCCTTCCTCTTTAGCAGTTGCATCTATTCATTTGTACCACTATAGTTTGGAAGTTGTCATATCCTTTATACCTGAACAAAGATGTCACCCAAACTCTTAAGTTTTCTGTGCTTTGTTAATAGCATTAGAAGCTGACCATGTTAATAGTAGTATTAGAAGCTGAGACTGGCTGTGACTCTACTGGACACTGCAGTGGTGGGAATCGCTACTGGCTCTTCAACAGCCATTGTCCTTTCAGGGGCTTCTGAACCATCAGTAGTGACAGGGTCCTGGTTAGGGTTTCAGGGAACAGCTGCTCTCTCTCCTTTACTCTCCCTTTAGAGGGAGGAGGGTGAGTAGGGGACTGTAGGATGTTGGTCGTCATAGAAATCCTGTAGGCATACATGTAACTGTACAGGGATTACATATAGTGCTTCAAAATATAATCTTACTGTGAAGTTCCTCATTGAAAGAGGTAATGTTTTATGTGCTTTCATCCTCTTTGTAGTGCTACAGGCAGGTTGAATGCTCACTGTTTTGTAACTCTGAAAGGGCCTATTTAGCGCTACAGATGTAGCATACATCTGTGACCTCTAAATCAAGG